TCTCTCAGTCTCGTAATTCATTAACTGTGCCCATTCATATCATTGTGGGAAAATTCTACTACTAGTCCTTATTCAGCTTAGACGAAATAGGGTGAATACATCTCATGTGCCATTTGGTTTTGTAAATGGTTGCTAACACTATTGTAACGAGGAGGTGTCATTTGAGCAATCCGGACCAGGTGCGTTCCTCCCAGTCTTCCTACCAACATGAACAAGTTGCAAAACACCGAAAGGAGACTGCGACCACACAAAAGGCCACACCATTTTGGTCTTCATACCTTTGGTTTCTTCTATTCTGCTTTGGTCTCAAAGGCATGGCCGCTTTCTGATGGATGGATGCTCGTCAAAAGTACACCAAAGCAACCCCATCGTCAGAGCGAGCCAGGCTTTTCGGTGTTCATCACTGCCACGTGGATATGCGCTTATATTACCGCTCCAGAGCCCGCGTTCCTGACTGGCAGTATACTTTTTGAATGAATAAGTTCTTGATCAAGAATTACCGATAATCCCTAATACTACTTATATGGAAAATAAGTAACGTGGTCGACTGTAATGGAAAACATATGCTTAGAAAAGTTGGGTTTCGAGGACCATCCTGTTTCATAATTGTTGTACTTACTTGCATTTCGAGTGAAAGTGTTTGGTGAAGAGATTCGAAAGTCAATTCGACCAGAAGACGACGGCGGATTCCTCTTGACCAGCTGTCGGTCGGCTTTCCTGGAAGATTCATACTGACGCTGTTTCCGAGGCAATCTCCCTCGATTCCGGTGAAAAGGTGTGAAGCTTTCGTCCGTCACATGACGGGCATCACAACCAAATTGAAGCTAACGAGTCAATAAAACTCATCGACAAATCCCTAAAAAGTGGCACACATAATCTATATCTGTCCTCTTTGATCAAGTATAAAGTGGTTTGGTTAGTTAAGGTCATATGTCAAATTCGATGCATGTGAGTGTGTTGACTCAACAAACATATGCTTGCTTAATCGACAATCACACAATTAAGTTGTCGGGCCATGCCTTTCTCGTCTTGAATGTCGCATCTACCCCGTGACTGACCGTGTGGCGGAATGAAGTTGTGTGAAACGGAGTGAAGTGGAGTGAAGTAGAACAAAGTGAAGTAAAGTGGATTAAAGTGAAGTGAAGTGGAGTAAGGGAGAGGGACGTAGAGTGAATTTGAGTGAAGTGGGATAAACTGGAGTGAAGTGAAGTGAAGTGAAGTGGAGTGGAGTGGAGTGGGGTGTGAGTATGAGTGGATTGTGATAAAATTCAGCTGTCTGTCCTTCACCATATCATGTGCATTTGGCCGAATAAAGTTCTTATTTTACATCTTCGGATAGTCTCGAAGCCTAATCTATCGAAGTATGTGTATTGCAATTGATTGCAATAACAAATTCACATTGTATCATTGCGAATCTCAATGCAAAAATGTCATTTGAGAAACAATGGCACATCTCATTTGGGAAAAAATCTACCATCTCTCCATAAACCATCATATGTGACCGAGACTTAGTTCTCAGTCTCTCTTATTTGGAATCAGAGCTAGAGCATCTTATTCAATGCACTTTATTAACGACAGTCGTCGTCTTATGCCTAAATGAATAATAATATCTACTTCCCTTTTCTCTATACAGTTCCTTCTGCCCCCCTGAATTTCAAGATCACCGAGCGCCAGCAAACTCAACTTTCAATGAATTGGTCCCGACCTGAGTCGATTCTCGGAACCTTCGTTGGGTACACCCTAGAGGCGACCATTCTCACTTATCCCGATGAGCCTCCAGACTTCGAGCAAACTAAAAAAATCCTGAGGCTGGACTTCGACACGGTTCAGTACCAACTGATGGATCTGGAGCCTTACAGTCGAATTTTGCTCAATTTGTATGCCCTCAATGCCAACTCGCTTGGCTTTTCAGTGGGCCAAGGAACTCCTGCGACGATTATTGTAAGGACTTTGCCAGGAGGTAACTTTTAACTTCTTCCAGCGTCGTTTTGCTTACTGTCATAGACAACGAATAACAGCAGTGCTTAAGTGTGTAAAGCTAAGTGGGTAAACGGTCAAAATCCATCCTTTTTCTGTAATCTACTCGTGTTGATGACGACTTTCTGCTAAAATTCTCGCTATTTCGTTTCTTTAGAATTATCTCTTAAGGCTTTATCAGAAGGGAAGGTCGAAACATCAACAACGCATGATGGCCTGCAGAATAGAGGCCCATAATATTGTACAATAACTCTTATGCAGTGATCGCTAGGCGGGCTCGGGAATTTGTTAAATGCAAGAAGACAGCTTTTGAGAATGCCGAAAATGTGAAGAGGAATGAAAGCATGAAGTCGGAAAATTCAAGACTCGTTAGCTTCAATTCGGTTGTGACGATGATACCCTCCTTGCTCTGATGATGTTCGTCACATGACGGACGAAAGCGTAGCACCTTTTCACCGGAATCGAAGCAGATCGCCTCGGAAACAGCGTCAGCACGAATGTTCCAGTAAAATGAGATGTATTCACCCTATTTCGTGTGAGGTGATGAAGGACTGGTAGTAGAATTTTCCCACAATGATA